CTGGCAAGATTATAAGAACCTTCCATTTGCAGGACAGTACTACCAATGGGCACAGTTACTATTAATTAGAAGCAAGAAAACTTCTCTTTCATTCTCTTTTCTTTAATCCATCTGGAATCTATTTTTCTAGTGGAGATAGAAATTTCACCATATTTTTTCCCAATTAGATAGCCCTTTATTAAAGAATTAGTCCTTGGAAATGCCACCATTATTATAATCTAAACTTCCATATATTTATAGGTCTGTTTCTGAAAATTGTTCTGTTGTGTTACCATATACTGGCTATATTTATTGATTTTCTTTTCTAATTAAAATTTAGAATCAGCATTTCAAATTACTTAAAAATTTTTCTATGTTTTTCATTGGATTTGAATTTGTAAATTATTTGTGAGAGAACTGACATCTTTTCAGTATTAAGTTTTCCTGTTCAGGAATGTAGTATAGCTCTCCATTTATTAAGGATAGTTCATAAAAGTTTTATACTTGTCTTCCTATAGGTTCTGCACATTTTTGTGTTAGGTTTATTTCTAATTAATCTATATACATAATTTTTTTCTATTGTGAGTGTGGACAATTTTCTAACTGGTCGTGGTCACTGATGGTGTTGATCGTCTACCTGGCCAGGTCATTGGCCTCTTTTATTAGTTCTAATAATTTTTAAGTTGATTCTCATGGAATTTTTAGGTAGTTAATTATATTGTCTGCAAATAATGACAATTTTTTTCTTCCTGATATTTATAATTATTTTTAAATTTTGCTTGTGTTACTGCACCGGCTAGGACCAAAGGTAGACAATAATAGTGATGGTTAGAATCCTTTCTTGTTTTTTATTTTAAAGGAAATACTTGTAACATTTCAACGTTAAGTATAATGTTTGTGTAGTTTTTTGGTGGATACCTTTTATCAGGTTAAGGAAGCTTTTTCTTTTTTTTCTAACTTGTTAAAGAAATTAAAAAAAAAAATTTAAATCAATTACCAGTTACTGTTAATTAGAAGCAAGAAAACTATGTCCAGGACATCGTACTGGACAGGATCTCTTCTTGTTTTTACTAATGGTTCAAGATTAAATAAAGATAATGATCTTTTAAGAATCTCCTAAAAGCAAATATTGAAAAGCCTGTAAAAAGGCCGAGCTACACATCAAAATGCTGTGAGAGCCAACAGTCGCAACAGTTACATGTGGAGTGGCCAGGGCCTGCTGCGAGGGAGCATTTGTTTTGGTAGCTTTGATGCAAATGGAAATGTCTGACAAGGGTTGGACATGGAAGCAAGTTCTGGAGCTCTGCAGGTCTTATTACTCATGCAATGATTACCTCCTCAGAGGAGATACAAATGTAAATGAGTCTGAAAGGTCTGTTCAGCTTTACTGCAACACAGGAAGCAAAATCACCGAAACTGCACACGTGTTACAGAGACATTGACAGTGTGTCTGTGTTTGCATAAGCGGTGCTCATTACACCCAATTCTGCACGGAATGTAGAAGGCAGGCAGAGGTGGCACTAGAAAGGAGTATTTGTAACAAATACATGCTTGTTTGAAGCAGGAAAGAAAATTTCTCTTCCTGAAGAGATGACTGGGACCCACATTACTCCCCTTAAGAATGGGTTTATTCATCTGAGGTTTGAGGTCCACTATCTTTGCCACCATCTGGCATGAGAGGAATTGAGCAGAGTCTGTCTGGACGTTCCTTTGGCTCAACTCCATCAGCTGTTAGTACTGTTCTCAGCGAAGATGTGCCCAACAGTACGGTTATTGCCACCAGAAGTTAAATAATCCCTTGGTTCTTTGCTATATCCTAGTGACTACATTATCATACCTGATGTCTTTAGCCAGCGGGACCACATAGCTGGGTTAACCTCCCAAGCCCTAGTTTACGTGCATTGTACTTAATTCCAGGTGTTGGATTGCCAGCAAGCATGCAGCCAGGTTTGCCATCTCTTCCTTTCTTGCCCCTCTTGCCTGGCATCGCTCATCTCACCTTCCTGTCTGAGAATCTCCCATTGTCTTCCCTTTAGCCCTTTGGATCCTGCCTTTTGAAGCTTCAGGCCACCTCTGCGGAGACAGAAGCTGCTTCCCACTTGGAATCCACCCCAGCTGGGGAGAAACCCACTCCTGCAATTTCTGACGAATGCAAATGCTTCTGCATCACCTTATCTACATTTTGCATTTGCATGGAATGTTTACCTATCTCCCCAAGAGCTTAGTTGGAAATGCAGATTATCATTAAGTTCAAACCGGTCACTTACAGAATCTACAGGTGTCTTGTAAATAATTTCAAGAGTAAAACTAAGCAAAAAGACATGCACTCTGCATCCTGCAAAGTTGGGGTGGGGCTCACAGGGAGGGGAATGTCAAAGTGCTTGTATTTAAAAAAAATACATTTAAAACAAAGTTAGAGAGCTGTAAGTCTTCCATGGTTACTCTTGGGGGTGCACAGTTTTGAAAGGGGTTAATGATGGGTTGCTGACAGTTCTCCTGTCTTATGACTTCCCCTTCAGAAGAAAATGAAATGTTTTCTGAACTCTTAGCACTCCTACCCAACATTTCTTATACTTTTAAAATGTTTTGCAAGAATGGAAACCACTTCACTACAGGAAGGAAAATGTTTTATGAGTTGCATCCATTTTAATGTTTACAAGAAACTCCCAACTAAAGATGCTGGCTAAGGTACTGAATGTGCACAATTATAATTTTATTTATTTATTTATTTTTCCCCCAAAACCCCAGTAGGTAGTTGTATGTCATAGCTGCACATCCTTCTAGTTGCTGTATGTGGGACGCGGCCTCAGCATGGCCGGAGAAGCGGTGCGTCGGTGCGCACCCGGGATCTGAACCCGGGCCACCAGCAGTAGAGTGCGCATACTTAACCGCTAAGCCACGGGGTCGGCCCTGCACAGTTAATTGAACATCTTTTACCAGAGCTTTGCTTTGAGCTCTCAAGTGACTCAGGCATCTTGTTAAGTGCTGTTGTTACTTTATAAGTACACTGTGAAATGATATTTAAAACTAAATAAAGGAGATGTCATATAGTTTTAGCTCCAAAAATTAAAATTGTCCCAACTTAATTAGAGAAGGAAGAATTTATATAATTAAGTGACCATTTGAATGTTGAGTAAAAAAGAGAGGAATTATAATTACACCTAGTGGAATTATAATTATAGTTTGTTTAGGTATGACAACTTCAAGATGGGGTGGGGTGGTTCAAGCCAACACAATACAATTGTAATCAGAATAAAAGCCATCTGTTTTGCATATGCCAACTCTATAGCCTTATACAAAATATTTGATAATTGTAAGCAACATTGACCTTGTTTACAATGTATTTAGGTGGACAAAGTGTTATACTGATTGTTCTATACCTAAATGAGACTCAAGAGAAACACATATTTATCTGAAGACATAAAATTGGATTTAATGATGAACAATTGTGGATTTCCTGCTCAAGTTTACAGTCAGCGACTGATCAACAATCTTACTCCTGCCAGTAACTGTTTATTTAACTTAATTCACTGGAGCACTACTCAGAGTAGTTGAAGAGATTTCATAAGAATTTTGGTCGGTAATGGAGGCAATATGTAGGATATAAAAATTCTTCATACCATAAACATTTTTTCCACTTCTAGTACTTTTTTTGTACATTAAATACAGCTGGAATTTGTTTTGGTGTAAGTAGTGAAGTAGGGCTCCAAGTTTTCTTTTTCCTTCCAAATTGCTAGCCAGTTAGCTCAAAACAATTTGATGATTAAGAATGTAATTTAAAAATATGTGTGTGCCCAAAATGCTATTAAAATTGAATACTAGTGAAATCTTGGAAAGAAATTGTGGCATGATTTCTATTTGCAGATGGTTTTATTTCAATTTAGATGAATTCAAGGCTTCATGAGGACTTGTAAAGAAACAAATTCAGGAAGTGGTAAGAGATATACTCTTTTTATTTATTTATTTTTGCTGAGGAAGACTGGCCCTGAGCTAACATCTGTTGCCAATATTCCTCTTTCTTTTTTTGCTTGAGTAAGATTAGCCCTCAGCTAACATTTGTGCCAATCTTCCTCTATTTTGTATGTGGGTCACCTCCAGAGCATGGCTGACAAGTGGTGTAGGTCCACACCCAGGATCTAAACCCAGGAACTTGGGCTGCTGAAGGGGAGCGTGCTGAACTCTAACCACTATGCCACGGGGCCAGCCCCAAGAGATACTCTTTGACCTACAAAAGACGTAAGTGGAGGAGCTGAATTGAAGCTGCTGAAAAGAATAAAGTGGTTTGTATCAGAAATGCAGAAATAATAAAAATATTTTGAGGTGTATATTGATATAAGGGTATTATATTTATTACAGCACTATCCATAACATTGACTCGTTTCTTGAGCAGCTGCAAACCTCTGGAGTCCTTGTCTGTAAGTCAATCAATCACAGCCATGTTTCTGTTACAGACAGCCAGACACAATCCAAGCTGATACAGTCCACTTTTTCTGTGTAATTCTCTGGCTCCAATTTCCATTCTACTTTTGTGTGTGTGTGTGAGGAAGATCAGCCCTGAGCTAACATCTGCCAATCCTCCTCTTTTTGTTGAGGAAGATTGGCCCTGGGCTAACATCCGTGCCCACCTTCCTCTACTTTATATGGGACGCTACCACAGCATGGCTTGACAAGTGGTGCTTTGGTCTGCGCCCGGGATCTGAACCTGCGAACCCTGGGCCACTGAAGTGGAGCACGCGAACTTAACTGCTATGCCACCGGGCCAGCCCCTCTATTTTTTCATTTAGTATGGACTTACTAAATTTTAAAACTGTTACTAGAAATAAAGCCTATTTTGAATGTTGAACAGCTAAAGAAGAAATGAGAGTAATCAAGACAGTAAAGAGTTTAGTGGAGGGCACAAAATAATTTGAGAAATATAATTTAATTTGCAGAACGACAGCCATTTTATTATGATCAGGATGTTAAGCACTTGAACAATCTATACTTTATTTTTATAACAGAGAGACAACCAGTAAAAAAAGTTGATTTTAGGAATTTATTATTTTTTTAAAAAAAGCGACTTCCAGGGTTTGCCATTGTACGCGTTTAGCCCTCCTATAGCAGGGTACAGCGATAACTGATTTTTTATAACAATGACTCAGAGGCACTGAAGATCCATAATTGTCTTCTGAATTATCACAGAAAGAAAAAAGAATTAGAAGAAAAGTTTAATGTTAAGTGTATTTAAAGAATCATATTCTAATTCTTTTAAACTGGTTATCCAAGTGTGATAATATAGTAGAGCTCAGATAACTAGAAAAGGCAATTGACTAGAACACCCCATTCCCATCTGGTGTGCATTAACAGGCTTCTTACTGCATGTGTCTTTATGTAGTCTGCAAACTAATTCAACCCATTTTACACAGCATTAATTGTTTTTATTGAGTTGGCACTGGGCTGAAACTGTTGCTCATTATCTCATAATTATTGCTTTTTTTTTCTAGTTCGTTGATGGATTTCCCTCATCTGACACAGTGTTTGGACTTTTGTGTGATATGACACTTCGAGATCATCTCTGCCCATTCTATTGATATTTACATTGAAGTTACCCATGGCCAGATATCCAAGACTATTAATAAAGTTGTCCACCAGCTCTGTCCTTCACCTTGGTAAAAGAGAGACCGTGTGTCTCACTGGAGTATGTGCCAAGCTCCGGGCCAGAAACATCGTGAGCTGGTCGTCAATAGAGGGGACCCCTCAAAGTTCTTATTAATGCTGTGCAAACAAGGGTCTCGTCATTTCTGTAACTATTTGTACATTTATAAAAGCAATACAGTCATGGGAAAAACCAACAAGCACAGCTTGGTAGAATAACCTGCCATGAAATATCATTGGCTTTATAATAATTTACTACAACCGTTCTTTTTATTCACACTGGATAGGAAATGCTTCCATCTAACACATGGAATACGAATATATACAACGAAAAGTTGGCTTTTATTAAAAAAAAAAAACCTCATGAGAATAATAACATGGGGGTTGAAAAAAAAATTTTGTGCAGTTTCCTGATCACAATCACATCTGCTGCCTTTTACAGGGAATGATACAAGTACTGATAGATTTTATAAACCAGTTAAAGAATGTTCCTGCCTGCAATAGCCTACAATTAAACATTGCCTTGTTCATACAGTATAGAAGTTTTTCCTTCTCAACTGTAATTCTAAATGACTAGGGATGACATGATCAGTCAGTTTTAAGGACAAACCCTGCTAATCCTCTTCAAAATCATCATATATTTGCAGTTCCCTATTTCATCAAAAAAAGTTTGCCAAAACAACACCTTGGAAACTGCACGGGGCTTCTGATTGATGTGCTGTTGAGATCCTGAATGTTGCATTCTCACCTGATGCCTGCCATCTTGCTGCACAACAATGTCAGTCAGCATCTTGGCTTGAACTTTCTTTAGGCCGCAGTGAGTCATGCGGCAGTGGTGTGGGGTGGACTGTTTTGTACTGCCAGCAGTCAAAACAGCCGCCATGGGCTCAACGTCTCTACGCTGTGAGCCTGGGGAACCCATTCTCATATGGAATGGTTTTCCGGAGTCCAGCAATGTCACCGCAGGTGGCTGAGACATTCTGGCCCCTGCTTCATGAGGGACTATGCTAAAGAAGAAGGCTACTGTTCTAAAAATAGAGAATATGGGCCAGGTTTGGGGGTGGGGGAGGGAGTATGCTTTCATAAGTCCTGGAAACCATCTCTGATTTTAGCTCGATGAAAAGGCTGGGAGATTCTCTGGAAGTGGCAGGCTGGGAGAAGGGCTGGGTCTGAGGTACACTTGGAGAAATGTCAGTTTGCCATTGGCATTGCAGATTTAGTGCCTGTGGTGCCCCACTAAGGCACTCTGCCTAGATCTATTTTCCCCTGACTGTACCTTTTATGCCCAAGGGTTTCCCCATCCCCCCCATGCAATCCCTGTTTGTTTTTGCTTTCTAAAATAGGGATGGCATATGGGGTTCATCTCTCTGAATTCTGACTGAGGAGTGGTGGCTCTTTGGAATTGTAATTTGAGAACTGTGAAGAAATCACTGGGCTCCACAGGAAATAGTACTGTGATTGATTAGCAATGTCTGCCATGGCTAAAAGAATTGGTGTTTATGGAATGCATGCCAGGTCATTATGTCTCTGTTCTAAGGAAGGCGAAAGAATGAGGCTGGCTTGATGGGTTCTTGAAGGATCTTTGGAGACCTTAGCCCAAAACATTAAGTTTATATCTATTTTATATTCTGCTTTGGTCCAGAAAGGATTTAAGGCATTTGGGAGAGGAATTTTAAGACCTGTGGAAAGCTGGAGGGGGAGATAATTTTGAACAGGCTGGTGCAGGAGGCCCTCAACAATGGCCTCTGTTTTCAGCTCTGGGTGATGAAGCCCAATGTTTAATAAGTGATTATAGGGCTTACTGATGACAACAGAATCAGAAAGACTTGGAGGAATGGAGTGGGTCTCAGGCCTGTTGGGAATTTCAGGCAGAGCATTTCTGGCATATTTCCCCTGGGTCGAGAGCTGATAATATTTGTGAGTATGTTGAAAAGCCAAGGAGAAATATATTTGTATTCACACACACAAGCCTTTTTTGAGGGTTAATCAAAGAACCTGGGCATAGTTTCCTTATTATGTCAGGACCATTGTCTCTCTGCTCTGCCTAGAAGTCTCTGGTGCACAATTTTACCAAAAAAGAAAAACAAAATCAGTGAAATTGTGTGATAGGTGCTAGTGATGCCATTTTGGGAAGATCAACTCATGTTTGTCTCTGGAAAATGGGATCAATCACTTCTTCATATCTCAAGTGATTTAAACCGAAGCCAAATCTTGATTTTGATCGTGAATCATTAACAGGTTGATCTTCGACAATGCCATTGTCCATTGATTTAGGGGAACATGTTGGGCCAAAGCCAGCCACCTCTAGCTGCTGATGGCCTGTGGGGTTTAGAAACTGTCTGATGCTCCCATCAGTACGCCCCGTCAATGCACACACCTGATTTCACTTACACAGCAACATGGCAACATACCTTTTTCCATCAGTAAACACCTGCTCTCTTCCTCACTTGGAAACTGGGAGAATTTGGAAGAAAATAAGGCTATGTTTTCACTCCTCTGCAAATCTCAGGAGAACATGCTTTTGGATACCTGTCTGATGTTGAGTTTCTTGCCACAATGGGGACCTCAAGCTTTTCCCAAAGTTGCAGGCAAAGGATTTCCCCCCTCCTTGGTGGCACACAGCGGTGAGGATTCCTTGATTCCTAGGCCAAAGGTCCAGGGTCAAGTGATAGGAGTGGAGTGGAGGAGGGAAGGCAGCATTTAGAAACCCAGCAATGTTATTTCTTATCCATCCGACTCTGCTTTTCACCCTCAGAGTCTTATTGGTCTCCATGAGACACAATCCCATTTAGAGCATCTCAGCAGTTTCACTGTCTCTGGAACCTTCTAGAGGTGATGGCTGGCTGACTATAATTGTGACTGTAGTTGCCTCATTATTTGTTTTCAGGCATTTCAAAATTTCTTTTTCTTTCTGCTGATCACAATTGTCGGTGCATTGGCATTACAAACCAATTTTTAAAGTTTGTGAATGTCAGTGGGCTTTACCACCACTCATTTCCAAAGTGGAAGCCTCCTCTAACTGGAAAGACTTGTTCTAACACCACAGAGGAGCCTCCTCCCCAAAGTTTCTGAGAGCCCAGAGCATGAACTTTGGGTTCTAGACAGAAGGCCTAGGAGGAGGTCGGGAGGGGGGTGGGGCCCTGTTGGGAGGTGGGGCCTGGGGAGGAGGGGGAAGGATGGAAGGTGGGGAGGGAATTGGAGGGGTAGGAGCACTGGGGGGTGGGGGAGGGCAATGGGGAGCAGGGGGGGGGGGGGTGTAGATGGGGGCAGGAGGCGGCGAGGTGGTGTGGTAGGCGTTGTTGAGGGGGTACTTGGCAGGTGGATTGTTCTTGACTCTGGTGAAGTTGATACAGCGCCCCTGGAAGAGAATCAGAGACAAGGGAACGTGAGCTGATGCTGCTATGACCGTACAACAGGGCAGGTGGGAAGTGTGCGGCCTGAAAGAAATATGTAGGAAGCAGACACGATGTTTATGACATGCTCTACTGGCATACAATAGAGCTGGACAACAAACAAGCCCCCCATTTCCTTACTCTGGGCTTACTGTGTTGCGAAATTATTTGTTAAAATTCATTTTTCCTGGAGTCTTTCTCTCAAGGAGGAGGAAGAGAAAGAGACTGTCCTTAACTGGACACATGGGGTCAAGCTGAGTACAGAGGTCATCAAATTTAATCTCCTCAACAGCCTTGCTAGCCAGATATTATTATCAATTGTTCCACTTCATAGACGAGGAAACTGAGGCTCAGAAAGGTTAAGTCGCTTTCCCAAGGCCACACACCAGGAAGAGGCGGGGTTGGTGATTCAAACCCCAAACAGACTCCCGAACCTCTACTCTTCCTGCTGCACTATATTGCCTTCTCAGGAGGAGTCCCCAACTTTTATAAACAAAGGTAACTTATTTCAATTGATTTCAATTACACTCCTAGAGGCAGTAGAAGGTTAACAAGATGAGCTTTTCCTATAGTGTAATCCAAGGGTGCTGGATCAATCTGTGGTCTAAGTTGTCATAGATGTGGCAAACTGGGGTGATTCTCAGATGCCCTCATGCATTTGTCTCCCCTAAACTCCTTTTGCTTCCCTCAACCGCTCATGCTGGGTAGTGAATTAAGGAGGCAGCTCTCCCTACTGATGTGAGCCAGACACCAGTTGGTGCAGCTTCCCCCTCCACGCCCCTGCCTTCCCCAAGGCCCTGTCATGAACCATTTATCCTGCCCTTGCTTTAGCTGGGGGAGTCCTTCTTCTTCTAGATGCTGCTGCACCTGCCCAGGTTCTCTTAGGTTCTCAAGAAATACAACCTGGGGACATTTTATTGTGAAGCAGGCATCCACCCTGAATTCTGCTTTTTTCCCCTCCTGGGGACCCGACTGGACAATGCAGAGCAGACACCTGGAACCCCTACAGCAGCCTCTTGAAGCCAGCTCTAAGTAGCCCTCTCTTCCCTGTGGCATCTCCTCTCTGCTCTCCAGAGTCACAGACCCGACCTCTCTGCCCCGTAACAGATACCTCTAGCCTCAACCGGCACTCGGGAGCCTTCTACCCAACACATGGCTCTGCAAGGGACGGGAGCACACGGCTCTCCCACTGACAACATTCTCCTTCTGGTGCCTGTACTCCCTTCACTTTTCCCATAAGACCCTCCCCCCCTTGCCTGGGCAGGGTACTGGCCACTCAGTGGGTCCTGGCCTCCCTCCAAACTTCCTATGCCTATGGGGACATCTTAACTGTTCTCTCTATTGTGTGTCCCAGATGCTAACAGAATCCCTCCCCAAGGAGACTGAGGTGGGGCCACCTCTCTCTGAGGCTGCCCTGTCCCTTTCTCCTTCTCCTGCTCATTCTAACCAGATCTCCTGGATACGGCGCTACACTGGGGCTGGGGCTGGGGCTGGGGTGTGCGATTTTTCCTGGCCTCACTCTCCAGGATGGACACCCATCCGGTATCCGACCTGAATGGGATATGTCCAGAGAGGCCAGAGTTTCCTTTGTCAGGCCTGAGGGGAGGATGGGCCTGAGGCGGGATGAAGAGGGTGAGGCAGTGGGATTTCAGGAACAATTACCTGTAGGACAAGAGGGAAACAGAAGTGTGTGATTTGAGGCTTGGCTCGAGAAGAGCGCCACAGCAGGGACACAATGATGTTTGTGGGAGACGGGGTGGGGGCTGAGCACAGCTTTCCTCACACGTGCCCATCCCCACTTGGCTTTCAAGTCATAAGTCCCTTTTCCCCCACACATCTTTCCCTGATGACTCCAGCCTCCACTTGTCTTTTGCTTCCCTCCTCGAGTTCTCTAGTCACAGTCTATACCACACACCGAAGCCTGCATACGGTCATTGTTTTATCTGTAAATGCCTTGCCTCCCTGACCAGATGAGAAACTTCTGGAAGGCAACAGCCTTGTTTTGTACTTTGCTGCTCCACAACCGGGAGCCTCACAGGTGCTCTGCATGACAAGAAGACTCTTGGTCAAAAATGAGTTGTTTGAAGCCACTTGGGAAATGATAGGGCCTTGGGCAACATTAGTAATGAACTGAAAATTCATTTACAAGACATCGCATTAGACAGACAGAATCTTGACAAAGAAAGGCCAAGCTTAACTGGACTGCAAGTGGTCTAGGGATAACAGTGTCACATTTAAGATGCCAGCACCTTGTTTTCTCTGATCTTGTATTTCATGAGATCAAACCAGAGCTTAACCTTGCTGGGTTCTGACTGGGAGTCCTAACTGCAGAAATAAGTTACCATCTTCTCATTGCATTGCCCAGAACTCCCCGATCGTGTTCAAGCTTCCACACGTTACATTGGTTTTGTAACCCAGTACTGTAAACTCCCGGTTGTCCAAGCAGCCCTCTTTTACAGCTTTATAAATCTGAGCCTTGGTTACAGCTTATTTATGATTCTGGATAGAGCTCTTCCCTTCAAGATCTTAAAGTCCTAATGATTACCATCTGTGATAAATTCCTGTAATGGACACTCAGAGTTGGGATTTATTGTGCTACATATTCTCTCCCCTTCCTTCTTCGATGTGCTAAGTCAGACCAAGAGACTCGGGAGATTCACTTCCTTTGAAGACAGAGGAAAACTCTGATCCTAGAAAAGGAGCTGCTGGTGCCTGGGGTCGAGTCCCCATGTGGCTTCAGATTTCCTTTAGGGCTGCCATGCCACTGCTTTCTCCCTCTCTTTAGGGATCAGTGATGGTGGGCTGGGGTGAGAGAGGAGGCACATTAATCCAGAGACTAGGGCATGAGAGTGAGGTGAGGAGAAAGACCTCCCTAGGTCAGCCCCTCTAGCTGCCACCATGGCCTCTCGGCCATAGCAGCAGAAGGATGGGCATGGTGTGGGGTAGGGGAAAGGCACCACATCTTCATCTTCTTCTAAGAAGAAGACCCCTTCTTATAGTCTGTAACACCCCAGGGGTGCACCCAACGGTCACCTGCTCCAGAGCACTTGGCTGTGGCTCATTATAGACCCTAGTACATTAGAGCTGCACACAGCTGCCCAGAGCTCTCATTAAGCAGCCAGAGAGGAGGGGGCAAGCTCAGAGCCCCTGCCACACCCCACTGTGTGACACCCCACAGTGTGATGTGGGGTGGGGATAACATACCACCTGCCACTTACAGTAAGTATGAGGATTAACTTAATCAATGTTGGCCAAGGCCTTGGAACAGGGCCTGGCACATTGTGTTTGGTAAATGAAGTTGAGTCTAGATGGGGAAACAGATGCTCTGACACAATAATGACCTTGTCTAGGGTAAAAGACGAGTTGGAGGTAGTATCTTGTTTTCTGTCTCCTAGTTAGTGCCTTCTGAGTGAGCTGCAGGCTAGAGCCTCTGCACTCCACACCTGGCTTCTGTAATAAAGCTGGTATACAGGGGAAAAATATGTAGCCTTGGACATGTGACAAGAGCAGTCCCCAGAGCCTGCTTTCTTATGCACCCTCTTCTCTCCTCCCATTGCTATGTAACTCCTGTAACTTATTCTAACAGGACCTCCCGCAGTGGGAGCACACACAGTTGACTGACGATGCATTTACACATACTTATCGTCCTGTAAAAAGGTGCAGACTCGGCATAAAGGAATCCCTGGGGTCAGTTATAGTAAGATGCAATTAGGACTTCAGGGAGGGGTGTGGCTACAAATTAAGTTCTTAAAACCTGGAGCCAGAGGAGCCAACATAAACACTGTAACGCTTAGACCATATAATTGGCCTAAAACTCAGTTTACAGGACACCATTTTTTGCTTGCGAGAGGATAATAGAAAGGCCAGATGTTCTCAGTATCATATATGCCAGCAAATCTGCACCAGTGTTTGGTTAAAATGTTGCTAGGACGATTGGAGCTCTCAGTTTGTACACTGGTCTCTGTAACCAGTTTAATTTTTTGCAGTATTGTTTTTGGGTGGTTTGACTCAGATCCAAGGTTTGGCTTTGACCTCAGTTTACCACGGCTTGCTCATTTACGAAGTATGAATGTCAATTATTTTCACATATTAGCAACAAAATGCTCTGGTTAAATTCTAAGAAGAAAATGCAACAATGCTCCTGCTAAATGGTGGCTCAGCAGGATGCTAGGTGGCATTCCTCCTAGGCTGGAAAATGCCATTTTGATTTGGCCGAATCTAATGGTGTTGGGAGGATTATTCCAAATGTCAGGCACAGTACCTTCTTTATTTATTATCAAACTCTATGAACTAAGTCTTAGTATCTTCATTGTACAGAAAGGAGACTGAGGGCTCAGACCTATTTAAATAATGTGCCCAAGACTACACACTCAGTAAATGGTAAAAGTGGGATTAAAACCTAGCTCTGCTCACCTTAGGTACTTCTCCTCTTTTTACCATATGATCCTGAATATAGACTAAAAGTGCAAATAATGTCTTGAGGCACTTGTAGATGGTTTCACAGAATGTAGCACTTGGCCACAATCCATCAGTTCTTGACACAGCTGTCAAGAGATCTTTCCAGAACATAAGTCTGGTAAATTCACTCTCCAGCTCAACATCCTTCAATGGCTCCCTATCATCTTTAGAATAAAACCCAAATGCCTCTGATGGCATATGCAGCCCTTTGCAACCCAGTCCTTGCTTACATCTTTCAATTAACTTCTTACTCTTTTATTGCAGGATGTCCAGCCTGGCCCACCTAAGCCATTCACAAATATTTGTTCAATGAAAGAATATACTATGCCACTTAGTACTATGGGGGATCAGAATTGGCCACCTCAAAATATGTCTCTTTGCCTTGATTATTTTCAAGAACAAAAGACTCTGAAAGAAACTTTGACCCCCCCCCCCCCCACTAACTGTCTGAAAGAAATTTAAGATAGAAGGCCTGTCCCCAGGACAGGCCATCACCATAGATAACTCT